TTAACTCGTTAAAAGAAATTTTTATTTTAAAACTACTTAATAATATTGCTTATACAAGTAATACACTTATTTATTTGCTTTCATAAATTTCTTGGTAAAGCAAGCGAAGCTTTCTCAACAGTTTTTTTTAGCTAAGTAGGACGAAGTATAGCCGAGTGGTTGTTGCTCATTATGAAGTCTGATTATGAAGTCTGTGGTTCTTACCTCCAAAAGGAGTAAAAGGAGTAAACTATTAAGAAATCCAGGTGGTGCTGGCAAGTCAACTGTACTCCTATAAAGTTACTCGAAAATTTTTTGTTTCCAAAAAATTTATAAAAGGCGATGCTACTAGTTTAACCAGAAAGATTGAATGCTACTTACTTAACTACTTTTTTAAGTTTTTAATATTAATTTTTATCATTTTCTTTAATTCCATTCGCTTTTTCTTTTTTGAATTTCAGAACTAATTTTATCATTAGTTCATGTTTTTCATTTTACAATTAATTGACCAACTTTAATAGAAAATATACTTTGTATTTATTTTATCTTTTACTATAAGTCACAAAATTCGATATGCATGTTCCAAACGTTGCTCGTTTATAATGTGAATGGAACCTAATTATATATATTTTTGGTTGAATAACTGAATGGTTCATGACTTATGGTAAATAATGTATTAAATTTATGAAATTCGTTGATTTACGATAATATTTAGGTGATATATTTATCAAATTTGTCTGATAAAGAGTTTGCCTAAAATATTGCATATGAGGCAGTATAGCGGTGTAGTTAGCAATACCTTGGCTAAAAAAAAGATTTGAGTTTTTTATTTTTCATCTGAGTCCACAGAATACATTCTTTACATCGAAATATTCATGAAACCAAGTGGCATGCTAGCTTACAGAATATCGTTTATTTGGCAAATTAATTTAATAATCATCTATATATGAATCGTAAAATTAATGGATTAAAAATATCTAAATGGTAATTGAGACAATTTGGATAAATAAATAAAACTAGATGGATTAAGGGAGACGAAAGGGATGGATAAATTTTCTTGAAAATACCTTTGAGTAGGAGAGAATGAAATCTGCAGTAAAAGTTATGGAAATTATTTTCAGATTTTTCAAAATTTTTTTTGCAATATTCTTTCAAAATTTTGAATTTTTTTAGATCTAATTTAAATTTAAAAACCACCAGCAATCATTTTATAATATTGGTCATTCAAGGACGCCAGATGGAATTTAACTCTAGAAAGGAGTTCCAGAAAAATCCTGGTGTCGCCAAGTGGCGTTTGCCTAATCCGACAAACCAACAGAGCAGCCCAGAAATGGTGAGTGCAGCAGAAAAAAAAGATTCTGCTTCATATCTATTATAACAAATGCTAGATAATCATTTTCGCATCGCTTATCGCTTATTATACTTTTTAATTATATTATAGTGTTTGAAATTAAAATAAAGTCCCAGGAGCAATAAAATAATAACGATAATCCAGTTTATTTTTAGTACTACCGGATTATAGTGATTAACGGAATTATTTTTGATTCGTCGCCCATTTTAATTCCGTTATTATGCATCAAATTCGAGCAAATCGGCGTATTAACTGAGTTATTTAAATAAATCAATTATTTAATAAATTATTTAAATCAAGTTTTGGTCTCTTTTCACAGAAAATTTTATAGGAATTTTAGGCTTATAAAATTGATTTTGATTGATTTGATTAATTTCATTATAATTCATACAATTAAAATTCAAAATTTATTTATTTAATTGAATGAATTTAATGTATAATTATGGAACAGTCATTTTTAAAAATGGAGGAATGGATCATATATCTATTTTTATCCTTCGCCGAGTGGGCTGCTACCACTATCTAATTTTTTAACAACTTATTCCTATTAGAATAAGGGAATCGAACCCGATGCAGATCGAAACAACCCTCATCACTCGAATGCTATAGGTAACATTAAAATTAAAATGCTATGAATTCTGTCTTATTTATTTTCCCAAATACATTGAATTAGTATTCTCTCCTTTGAAATCGTTTCCTAAATATTCAGAATAATGAAAGATTTCGATTCTATTTCTATAAATTTTGGGCGAAATAGTTGGGTGATTATTTAATGAGAGATAACCACAAATGCTAATATTCACTTATTCCTATATCTAGCAAAATATTACGAAATATTTGGAATGGTTGTTTGGAAAAAGCTAAGCGATTCGGTGAAGAATTATCTAAATCAGACGATCTAGGTTACTAAAATATAATCAAGTTTTAATTTGAAGACTTCATTATATTCACCATATTCAAATTTCATAGTATTGGTGGAACAATATAACCATCAAGAGGATTCTTGTGTACATGGTACCTACTGATATTTAATTATTATTTTATTGTTCATTATTAATTTCAAATCGATTTTATTATGAGCTATTATGTTTTAAAGCAATCATTGAAATTCTCTGCATCATTTGTGCATCATTTCTAATCTTAATGGATTTTATGCAATCGGTTCTTTCAATTTTGGCAATTTTTAAATCCAAACTTCCAGATTTTCTTTTTTTTGAAATATTTTATATACTTTAATATAAATTACAGTTCAATTATCTACTAAAGTGAAAATATTTCTCCTAAGAGCCACTTGCCACAGAACGGAATCTAACTTATGTTGTCGCATTCAGCCAAGCCAATTCAATCTGACGTTCTCAAATATTTAGAAAGCAAAAAATGCACTTTTTCAATAATACATTTGGCAAATAAGATTCTCTTTTTTGTGCGATGCTCCAGTTTTACTTCAATTTTAAGAAAGCAATTGTTCTAAATCAAATGGTTTTTTTAAAATTGAAGTATTATTTGTGACATATCATTTTAAAGAAAAACTTCACATGTGCTATATATTTTTCAATTTAAACCAGGTGTTGCTGGCTATTTTATTGTCAAATGGCAAAAATTTCTCATCAATAACCAGTGGAGCGATCCTAAACCACAAATATCAAACTTTACTTCCTTTTAGTAAATGTTATTTTGGTTAATGTTTTGCAAATATAACTTATTTCGTTTTTTAATTTTTGCCCACTTAAAGAAAGATTCCATTAAATTAGGCTTATTTATGTAATATTTAATTTTTCTCGATAGTATAGTTCATTATCACTCGTTTTTAATAGCATATTTTTTGAAATTATCTTGTTATCATTTTTTTTTCGTTCTTTTATTGTTAAATTGTTCAAGTACGCAAATGGAATGTTCATCATTTATGATTAGGAATTTATGATCAGGAATTTTCGCCATGAAGTCATTTGGCAATAGTGGCGTAGGCATTATTTTTAATGTTTGGATCCATTCGGTTATCCATTTTCCTATGCGTTTTACTCTTATGCATTCTTACAAAAGTTTTCATTCTAATAGCCAATAGAGCCAATCAAACCAGAGATTATGAAGTTGGAATTTCTTACTGCTAATTCCATCTCTCTAAAGTGTTGATATTAGATTTTCATATTTTTTATAAAATTTATCTAAATTTATTTCTTCTTCTTCTAACAGCTCTTACCACTTCTGGTTAGACTGGCTCCGCTGGCTATAAAACGTCTCCAAGCTGCTCGGTCTGACGCCATCGCTAGTAGTAATAGAAGCAATTCCTCTTTCCATCGTCTAAGTCCATATATCGCTGGTCACTCTATACGTTCAAAATCTTTCCTGATCGTATCAAGCGAATGGCCTTCCTCGCTTTTGACGCCAACCATTATCACGGTTTAGCAAATAACGAAGTATATACGTCATCTCCTATGGTGGACGACGGAGAATATGCCCTAACTAACGAAGGCGACGCTCTGTGATAATATTTTTAATACAGGTAGTATTTGAGCGAAGATGGATACAATCATTATCCGCTTTTGTCCGCTCGACTGATCCGTAAAATCTTAGACACAAGTGGTCAAAGCTAATAGCTTCTTAATGTCTTCCATTCTCATTGGCCATGTTTCGGGGCCATATAGCAAGATCGAACGAATTGTAGCTATATTAACCGGATTTTCGTCTTTGTGGTGATTTCGTGACGGTTCCATAAAGATTTCATAAACCGGAAAACATAATGTCGTTATCCCGGTTAAGATTTCATCCTTTGCCTGGCCAATTGGGATTAGAGTGGATGAAGGTATTTAAAGTCCAGCGCTTCCTCAATCTGCAATGAGTTGATAAAAATAGGTATCAGCATCAGTATCTTGTATATAAAATACTTTATATTTTTATTTACATTGATTTTGAGTTCAATTCTCGCTGCAGTTATTGACACATTATTTAACATTATTTGCATTTCCTCATAACTGTCAGCAAAAAGGTATAAAGGTTGAACGTATAGGGGGACCAGCAAAAAGAACTACGTCATCAGTGTATTCAAGGTCTGCTATGTTCCAGGATTGATTCACCTCTTGAGTGCCGGCAAGCGATACCCATTATCCAGTCTATCACATAGATAAATATTGTAGTGGAAAGGACACCAGTATTTATTTCAAAGGAATTTGTCAGTTCCCCATATACACAGACTTGCGCCAGGGTATACTGATAAAATGCCTTTATGAGTGCGTTGCCCGAATGATTTTCTCTGGAGCACTTTTACAATCCATCACTTTCCGGAGCGTTGCTCTATCAATCGAAAGCAGCAAAATCGATAAAACAAGTGAGTTGCTGGTATTTGAATCGATGTTCCAGCACCGATATCTGGTATCTGGTCAGGACAACCGCATCCCGGTATGAATTCAGTTTGGTTAAGACGCATTCTTTTATCTCGTGTTGCCATGATCTATTTAGCAGAAGCGAAAATTTTTTTAGAGATGTCCAGTAGGCCGGATTTTTGTACAGGTTTACTCCTGCGAGGAATCCAATCAGCATCAGCACTTCCAACTGAGCAACAACCCACTGAGTAATTCTACCCCAGTAGGCTGATTCCTCGGTAATTGTCGCAATACGTCCAATTACCCTTTCTTAGGAATGGGAAGTAGAATTGCTTTCTTCCAGTCTTCTGGTATTATTTCTTTTTGCCATACCAGAGAATACATTGAAGGTGAGTTATGAACGATGGTGGATAACTTTTGAAGAATTCGGACCAAAGACCATCTTCTCCGGAAGTTTTATTAGCCTTAAGCTTAAGGATTACAGAGAGTATTTCTTTTTCAGTTGGCGGCTCACAATTGCAAACGTAAGGTTCGACGGGCAAATCAGTTATATTCGGGACAACAGATGGCATGGTTAAATTTGGCTTCAAAAAATTCATTCCATCGTCTGAGACAACTTTAACAGCTTTAATAGACAGTAATATTCCCATTAATATCCCGTATCATTTCACTAAGCCCTTCTTAAGTTATAATC